TTGTCTTCAATTTTTCATATATTCTTAGGGTAGTCTTCATTGCTGTATTCTACGTATCTTTTAGCCTATTCTGTATGTGCTTTTTGTATAACCAGGCTATACTTTCTGAGAGTACTGTATATACACATGTTCGTAGAGTACTCGCATTATATCATATTATAGCATAATAGTACTGTATTATATTATAATATTTATTATAACATTATGCATTATGGCATTACAGCATTACAGCATTACAGTATTACAGCATTACAGTATTATGACATTACAGCATTATGGCATTACGCATTATAGCATTACGGCATTACGGCATTATGGCATTATGGCATTATGGCATTATGGCATTACAGCATTATGGCATTACGGCATTGCGACATTACAGCATATAATATTTATGGCAATCAGGTACTGTGCTATAATTAATTCTACCAACTGGTAAATTGCCGTAATGCCGTAATTCAGGAATTCTACCACCAACTATACATACAGTACATACAGTACGTACATATAGTACGTATAGTACTGTATGCAGCACATTACTAAATATTACTAATATTACTTAATAATTTAAATAAAATTAAGGATAATTTGTAGTTCTTTATTAATTTATTACTATAATATCATATGATAACAAAAAAAAAGGTTACTCATTATATCTTCTGATAACTTCTATTCTTTTTTAATTTTAAAATTTCAAAAACTGAAATAGGTTATTTTGTATTCCTACTTATTTTCGAAATAGGTTAATTATGCATCACATAATATATATATAATGTAAAAATTAGTAGTATATTAATGTTCTAATTATTTAGTTTGTTTGACTCTGACAGAGGTGTCTTATTTCTAAAAAAATTACTGACAATTATAGAAATTTTATCAAACAACCCACTTGTTCAATTGCCCAACCCTGAGTATGCCAACTCTAAAATTCTTTTTATTATATGTAGAAGTGAGAAAATGCGCATTTTATAATAATATGTGTATTAATATGCATAATATATAAAATACGCATGATATCACATAATAAAATTTTTTTTTATAATTTGTATTTTTATTAATTGCAACATATTTAAATAAAGATGATATATATAAATTCTTAATCAGATTTTGCCTAAATATATAAATTTTTACTAAATTGCTAATTATAAATTTTATTGTTAACTTATCATATATAGTTAAATTATAAATTTTACAAATAAGGGTCTAAAAACAAAAATAATTACAAATAAGGGCCCAAAATGAAAATAATTATAGATAGTGACCCAATATCTGAAACTTATTACAAATAAGAGCCGAATATAAAAATAATTACAAATAATAGCCTGATTATTACAAATAAGAACTCAAAATAATTAGAACCTATGATTTAAGTCCTGTTTTGATGGTTTGAATATGATTGTAATATAGCCATTAATTGTTAATACATAAGAAATATAATAATAAATCCTTATAATAAATACTATATCAAATATAAAATTACTAATCAGTATGATTTTACTAATATGAAAATGCTCATTTGGCCTTAGGCTGTTATTTTGTTGAATTTTCTTATAAGTTTAGAATGAACAAACAAAATAAGCTGTTGGCTATTTGTTTTACAAATGAAACTAGTTCATGCCCTTTTACTATTTCAGTTAACAAGCACTAAAATGGCTATATTTATATAGTAAAGCTGATTTCTCATTATTCAACTTGTTTAATTTGTTTAACTTTTATAAAAGCATTCAAAGCACATGGATCATATCTTGTAAAATTTACTATACTACTAATTAAAGATATAGCAATACTTTAACTTCGTGATATTATAAATCATGTTTGTTCTTAAGTGAGAGCTGAGATATCATATACTGTAGCTTGGAGAATTAAAGTTATTAGGCACATATAGTTATTTTTTTGTTTTGCATTGCAAAATTTAAAAATCTGTCAGTCAGTTGAATTTTGTTTTTAAATTCTGAATAATGAGTTATAACTTTAAACATCTGTTTATTATAAAATGAAGCAATTAATTATGATACTATTACATTTAAATTAGCTAGTAATTTGACGGTATATTTGGATCTTTATTTGTAATAATTTGTAAATATTGGGAATTATTTCATTTTGGGTCTTTATTTGTAATTATTTTTATTTTTGGGCCCTTATTTGTAAATTTAAATAAAAATATAGATATACTATTTAATATATAGTCTTAATAAATATAAATTTTATAACTCTTATTTTGTTTATATATATATTTTTGTTTTAAATTTGTTAATTTTTTAGTAATTTTTACTAAATTTATATGAAAATCGTAAAACGTAATATATTATAATTATATTTAAAAGCAGCTTTGAATCAAAAATCTACTAATTTTAAATAAATAATATTGTATTTGTTATAATAATGTTCTTGATTCAAAGTTGAACCAATATATAATAAATTTTATTATATTAAAATTTTTCTATGTAAAATTTTTGATAAAATAAAATGTACATATATAGTTCAGAATCATGCGCATAAATACACAGTAATGCACCTAAATCCTAATCATATACACGCATAAAACCTATTTCTAACACATCACTCTTTTTTATTTATTAAACTTAAAATTATTATATAATCAATTCAGTATACTCATCATATTTTTAGCATCATTTTATGTATCAGTTTAATAATAATTGCTAATAAATATTATATAATGATAAATTTTTTTAAAAAAAATTAATAACTCTTCAATATTGCTACAATATGACTGAAATATGTGAACTAGTATTATCACAAAAAGGAAACCTAAAATTAGTAGTCAATGGTTACTTAATGGTAAAAGAAAAAGTAATTAGAAACACTTATTATTGGTGCTGCGAAAAAAGAAAGTCAGAGTATTGTAAAGGTTGAGCAATTACTATTTTTTCAGATAATTTACACTATCTTAAAAAATTTAGTAAACATGATAATCATGCTCTTGAAGCTAGTAGTAGCGAAGTTGCTAAAGTTATTGCTAATATTAAATGACAAGCTTATGATACTCAAGATACATCTTCTCAAATTATTCAAGATAATATTGCCACTATTCCATTAAATTTTTCTCCTTATATGCCTACACATGAAGCTCTTCATATGAGAATTAAACAGATCAGAAGTGCTGAAACTCTACCACAACCTCAAACTCTTGAAGAAATTAATGTTTTAGACTTATTACGCCTAACTTTAAAGGGAAACTATTTTTAATAAAAGATTTAGAAATTAGTGAAAATAAAATTCTTGTATTTGCAACAAAAACCAACTTACAACGTTTATCCTGGGCACCTTATTGGATCATGGATGGTACCTTTAAAATGGTTCCTACTATTTTTAAACAGTTTTATACTATCCATGCACTTGTCAGTGCAGATAATAATTCTCAAGTACTTCCACTCGTATATGCTTTAATGAGTAGCAAGTCAGAAGAACTTTATACTCATCTATTTCAAACTCTAATCGATTTTGCAGAAGATAATGATTTTCAACTTAAAGTGCAAACTATTATCACTGATTTTGAGCAAGCAGCAATCCGTGCATCATCTAATACGTTTTCAGGTTAGATATTTCTAAAAAAAATTTAAATATTAATTTAATTTTTTATATAACAATTTGTAAATACTGTAAATTTTAAAATAGCAAACAGGGATATTATTTTGAATTTTAGCCTAAATTAAGCTTAGTTTAGGCTAAATTTAAAATAAAAGCATATTTATTACTCACCCAGGGTGAGATTTGATATTTCTCACCCCCATAATTATTTTTATTATAACAATATAAATAATTATATAAAAAATTTATATTGCACTCAGATAATATATACGAACATACCAGGTTGGTGATATAGATCTCCAGAACTATTAGATGTAACATAACACAGATTGGGAAGATTCAAAATAAACGTCTGTTCTGCCAAAAATCGCTTATACTCAAAAAACAGCATAAGAAATAACCTTTAGTGTTTTAGTAAAATGATTTCGTTGAGCAATTTTACTATATGAGCTACTTCTCTCTAATTTCTAACCTGCACCCTAACTCTAACCTTAACGAGTTTTAAGACTTTTGTCTGCGCCACCAACCTGTATACATTATCGAAGTGCTATTTTTTAATAAAAAACACATATTAGGTTTCTTAAAGTGAGGCGCTTAGACTATTTAAACTAGAAATTTGACAATCTCAATAAAGCAAGTTTATTTATACAGCTTCATTATTTTGACCCACATACATAAAATTCGATTACAATTATGACAAACGAATCTTGTATGATATACAATATAACAAATCGAAATATACTGATACAGAATATTTCAATATCTCATAACTTGCTATAAAAAAATCACTTTAAATATTTTCCTCCGGTTATTAGCAAAATGATTATATTTTTTGTTCGCTTTGAATACATATGTATTCAGTATATATGTAAAACATATGATAGGTCTAAATTAAGAATTATTAGAATGAATTCATAGTTACTATGCTTAGAAAAGTAACATACTTACAGTACATTTAACTACTTGCTACTGTAGAAATATCATTAACTTAGTTATAAAGTACTGTAGATTCGAAAGGATAATTTAGCAATAGTTTTGTGCAATATAATGTAAAGAAAATCATAAGCATTTAGTAATAAAAAACAACAAGTGAAGATAAAGAAAAAAAATAAACGATAGTCAAAATATTTATACTTGGCTAAACATAATGACCCGCACTATATGACTTACAGCAGCATTAAAAAAAAATTTAAATCAAACAATAGGTTCCAAATACTTATACCCATACACATTGAATCATTGGATTATTGCAGAACATGTGTTACGATAATGTCTATATTCCCCGCATAATCCATATTTACGACCCCTATCCTTATTAGATATTTTTGATTTGCTCTTTGAATGTTCAATAGATGGCTTTAGTCGTTTAGATGGTGGTCTTCCTTTTGCTCGATGTCTTAGTGGATCTAAAACATTTGTACAATCAAGTAAAACCCATTTGCATTGATTATTCAGTTATTTGGTGTAGTCAATTTTTGTTTATTCAGAGACTCTTGCTGTCTAATTAATTTAGCTTGAATTTGTTGATCTTCCTTTCGTTTATTAAATTCCTTTATAAATTGCATTAAGTCATCATCATTGTCCTGTATCGCATATTGAATAGCTTTTTTTGCTTCGCCCATTAAAGCACCATACTTTAATCGATTTTTTGAGATTTGCTTTGAAGACTCTTCTGAAAAATCAGTTACAATATATTTTCAGGTAAATTCTTGAATAGTCGATGTATTATTATTATTAAAATTGCATCCTGTTATTTTATCAGGATAATTTTCAATTGAATCCATAAATTCATCTTTATACCAACGGTTAGGAATTAACATTATATGAAAATGTGCCTTGGAAGATTCAGTAAAAATTTTAAAAAAATGTCGACATATAATTCCATGAGTAATTAGCATGAAACATGTGCATAAATGTTTTCTATTACTAAGCAAAATTACATGTTGATAACATTTCGGATAATTATAACACAAGACTTTCCAAATTTCCACAATTTCATCATAGTTAACCATCATGATTAAGGACTGTAAGTTAAGTTCTCGATCTTCATCTGCTTCAACTGGAATTTCAAGATCATCACTGGGTTCCTGTTCAAAAAATAGTTCAAATGAATCATCATCAAATAACAAAGCTTCTAATATTGGTACTTGACATGCGCGATAGCATACAGATTGACACATTTGTTTATAATGTGCATCATGAATTAGTCTAGTAAGATATTTATTGATTACACCATCAATACTATTAAAAAATGTTTGAATTACATATGGTTGTGCATATTGCAATGTCGATGCTTTCCAAATTGAGTATCGATTATTGATAGACTCGAATTCAAATCTGTTTTCCAGAACTTCTTGAACATCCAAGAGAGAAAAACTTGATTGTACAGCTTTTGAACTAGTGAATTTTCAGATTCTATGCGTTGTGTAGATTGCGTTCCTGCTGTAAAATGACGAGACGTAAAACACTTTACCCAAGTATGTTTCCGATCTAATAACATTGTAGCTATGTATCTTTCTCCTGGTGCATATTTTTTTATAAGACTTTGAGCTCTTCGCTCGAATACTTCTTCACAATAAGAACGTTGAATGTTTTTAAAATCCTTGAGAAAATCTTTATAAAGTGAACCCAAACATGAACGGAGATTCTTTTTAAGATTTTGATAAAGGTGATATAAGCATTGCATATAGTGAGTTTTAGGAAACACAATAGAGATAGCTGCGATCATTGCTGGGTCTGCGTCTGTAACAAATGTCAATGGTGCAATTTCACATGCCTCTAGACAACATTGAAGCAACCATTCATACGATTCTTGCCTTTCGTCTTATATAAATGCCTGTGCTACTAATCAACTCTTATTCTGATTATCAATCAAAATAAAAAGACTCAATGGATAGTTATATTTATTAGTTCGAGCTGTATTATCATGAATAATTATGTCATAAAACTTGGCCTATCTTTCTTGCTGTTTTGGTGACATCCAGAAAATACCAATTAACTGACTACTTGTATTATCTATTAATGGCTTTACAAACTACGCGGGATCATTAGCCTGAAACTCTAGAAGCTTTGTCAATAGAGATGCTGCATCGCTTAAATTAATCACCTTTCTCTTTTGATTTTTTGTATAGCATTTCCAAGATCTTGAGTGAGGAAAACACGATCTGAATACTTTGGTTGCAGAAGATTCCTAATCATTGTTGCATCACATCGACCATATACAACATAGTATCAATTTGTTCCATGATCTCTTGAGTAAAACTCTTATATGCAGCAGCAAACTTCATAGTTTCAATATTGATTTGATGATTGTGCTCATTATTAAACAACATTACTGTTACTATTGGAGAATTTGGTATTCGTGTTATATTTATCTGCCACATACATCCTTGTTTTTTGCTTCCTTTATTTTTTTGCTTGCCCAGTGTTGGTCTTGAAAGCCGCTCATTATACCTTCCTCCCCTATCACACTTCATTACTCTTTTTCTAATAGTACCATCTGCGAATGTCTTACATTTATGCTTATAAACCAAAAAATGATTTTGAAAAAAATATTGTTCCATATAGTGAACTGCAACATGCATAGAGATAAACCGAGTACCAACTCCAAGCTCAATAGAAGCAGTAATTAAGAGCAAATCACCATTATAGCTTTCAAATTCGGAACCTAATATGTTACCAATAAATGGCGTATCCACTAACTCTCTATTATTATTCTTAAGCGTATCTACAGCCAACTCTTCCTCATTACTTTCATGTATATCTAAAACCAATTCTTCTTCATTACTTTCATGTATAATTACAGAAGCACTGCTTATAGAGAACTCAAAAAATTCAATGTTTTCAACTGTATCTTCAGAAAACATGGTCACAAAAATCAAAAAAAAAAACTACATATAACGATCAATGTGATTAGCTAAAAATTTGGGTTACAATGATAGTATAACTGGACTTATTTTAAAAAATGACTTACAAGATAGCTCAAATTATATGAATTTTTCGGTTCAGAGGTACGAAAAGCAATGGCTTAAAAATTTGAAGAGACAAAAGGTAAGAATAAATACTGATTTTAGAAACGAATAGAATTTGAATGAAAAAACAAAGCTTACTATAGTGAGTAGGATACGATCTCTTGAACCTAATAGTACGACTTCCGACAAATAACAATGTAATAAGGTTTTGTTGAACAAGAATTTTGTTTTTTTTTAAAAAAAAAAAACCTACGTTGATGAATAAGATGATAAAATTTCTTAGCTCAATAGTATGATTTTCCGGATATTAGTGATAGAGTAAAAAAGACCTAAAATTTCTCAGATTCAAAATGTGATTTCTAATATATCAAACTTGTCTTCAAAACGAACTGAAATAAATACTGATTTAAGAATACGTGAATCTGAAAAAAAAAAATAGAATTTATATTGGTGTATAAGGTGATAGCAAACTGAAAGGTACGATTCACCTTTATACTTACCCTCAGTTCCTATCGCTTTCTAAACCTTTCCTTTTCTCTACAACACTATGTTCTATGAGATGAAAATCAATAAATGTTTATTAATAATGTACGTACGTACATACATACAAGCGAACAAAAACTGGTTATTATCACGATTCCTCTGTTTATTTTTCATGCGAGATCAATCAAAACAAATAGTGCAAACTGCTCTTTTTGTGTAGTACTACAATTATTGTTATCCGTTAAACCATATCGTACGTACGTAAGTATATATCAAGTTGTGCACTTCTTTCACTAAGACGGTTTTGATTATCGCGTTTAAGTAAGGTTTTTTTCCTTTATTACTATTCCAATCCAAAAAACTAATCTCTTGTTTTATCTATTTATACCTCTATTGTTTTCATTATTTGTACTACATTATAATTTATACTCTGCTCTATTTTTACCCCTTTTTTGCATAAGAATATCTACTTAATATATTATATATTTCTAGGAGATGAGTAACTCACCTAGGTGATAAATAAATTTTTTCTTAAAATAATATCTCTGTTTGCTATTTTAAAATTTACAGTACTATAAAGTAAATAATAAACTAATTGGTAAATTATCTTTTATTATTTTTTAGGCGTTGTAAATAAAGAATGTTTTTTTCATCTTAAAAAAAATTTATGGAAAAGAATACAAAATTTAAAGTTAGTAAAACAATATAGAACTACCATAAATTTAAGTGAAAAATTACGGTGTTTGCTTGCCTTGGCTTTTCTTCTACCTGAAGAAATTCCTACTGCATTCAATATTTTGAAAACAGAAATACCACCAATTGCTCATAAAGTTGTATAATGGTTTAAGGACACTTATACTCTTGGAAAAGTTAGAAAAGAGTTAAGCAATGGTAATATCTCTCGTAATCAACCACTTTATCTACCTGAATTGTGGTCGGTCTATAGCTCTGTTAAATCTGAGTTTCCATATACTCAGAACAAAGTTGAAGGATAGTATCACCGGTAGAATAATTTAGTTAGTAGTGAACATTTAGATGTCTATTCAATCATTAAGGAGATTTAGAAAGAACAGCAAAGAGTTGATTGTCAAGCTGAAAGAATTCTTAATAGGGAACAAAGGCCTAAATCCAAAATAAAAATGATTGAACGAGAAAAATAAATCATGAATATTTTAAAAAATCGATCTAATTGTACAACAATAGATTTTCTTAAAGGAATTGCAAGTAATCTTTCCATTTAATATTAATGTTAAAGAAACTAATCAAATTAAATTTGCTATGTATTCAGATCATAATGCAACTTATCTAGTAATTGTTTTGCATATATAATTTGCTTATATATACCGCATATCTACGTATAATTTTGCAATTTACATATCTATTCAAAAAGTCTATTGTTGTAAAATCTGTATTATAATAATAGGTACGTACGTACCAAAGTTATACATATCTATTTTTTATCTAGTTCAGTTTGTTCATAATTATATTACGTATATATATGATTTAAAATATGGCCAAAAAAGAATTTACTCAAGTTAATGACCTTAAGTATATACATAAAGTTAAATGTAAAATATTGAAATATTATCGATATTGGATGATATTAGTGAAACTTTTTAATGACCTACTATAAATATAAACAAGAAATTTATTTATTTATTTTTAAGAACATGTGGAGATAAATGGTTTAAAGAAACTTAGACTTGTGTTCTAGAATATATAATTTATTATTATATAATAAATTATTTAATTTTTTTTTTCTAAGAGTTAAATGTTTGTTTTTGTTCTAGTTATTATTCTTCATTAATATTTTACTAATTATAGTATATAATTCTTTTAGATAATTCTAGACCTGAAATATAAGAAGTATCTATCATGAAGTTATCACTATAACTATTAGCATGGATATAATCTATATCAAGAATTTAAGCTATTCTAATACTAATTTCAACTCAACTTTCTATATAAGTCTATTAAATTTTGATCATAAGGACTTATAATATTTTATTATCAGCATACTAAAATACCATGAAGTATTTATTAGCTTTTGAATTAAAGTTAAACCTTATAGTTAAAGTTCTAAGAGCGTTTATATCTTAATCCAACTCAATCAGCATTTTCTCTTAGATTCATTGAATTTGTCAAATTCATTAAATCTATTAGGTTAGATCTTGAAAATTTCCATTATCAGTGTGTTGAATTACTATCAAATGCTTTTTTGTCTCTACATTAAGTTAATTTATATACTTTTAAACTATTACTATATAATCTACATCTAATAGGACCATCAGAAATTTTCATTATAAAGGAGGCTTTGGCACTGCAGTATAGATTAACAGATATATTAAAGGATTCGATCAAAATAAGAATGAATGGAAGAGAAGTTCACAAATAGATGTTTGTTTAAAAAGTTTTGATAATTCTAAAGATATAAAATAAGAATTTTTAGAAAAAGTATATATGAATCTTAATTTACGATTATTAAAAATACAGTAGTCTTATTTATCTTAATTAACATTTTATTAGGTTAAAAATCAATATAAATATGGGGCAATTTGGCAATTACAATTTATGAAATAACTTAAAATCTAAAAGACGGTAATTACATAATGATTATGGAGTATGCAAAGCAAGAAAGTCTCTGAAAATTTCTAGACAATATAAGAGGAGTTTCCTTGGATTTGGCAGGATCTTAAATTTACTAATATTAGAAATTTGATGTAAATAATACATTTCTTATTTATTTTGTTGTCTTTCTTGTCTTACTAGTTACTATTACTAATATCTTGGTCTTTTATTTGATCATCAGATTTATTATTTCATAAAAAAATTCTTGAAATAGTTAACAATCGCCAGGTAACTATTGGGCAATTAAAATAACCTGTTTTATTTTTTTTCAAAATTATTTTACCTTTCTTATTTTTGTGTTCTTATGTCTACAACTATGATTCTATTTTTTGCACTGGTTTTTGTTACTATCTTTCATCATGAAGTTTATTATCGATAATTCTTTCAGAAGTAATAAGTATCCCTTCTCTTATTTCTATTATTATGGTTCCTTTCTTTATTTAGAATCATACTAAACCTTATCTTTATAGTTCTTCAAAGCTTTGTTATAGGTCTTAGTGGTTTAATAATACAAAAGCCTGACCACAATTATCAACATTACTGGAAATTTTAATAATATCTTGGGAGAAATTTTGAACAATTCTAGTAGTTTATAATGGTGAATGTTTTATTATCTATCTATGTTGATGTTTGTTATTACTTACTATATAACCATTATCTTTTTCTTAGATTGATCAAGAATTCTAACTTCATCACAATGACGAGGAATCATTCTCGTGTATTGTCTACATCAAATAAGTATTGCTTGTTAAATTGCATTATGTTTTACTATTTCTATCTACCGGTAATATTCTTTATTCCAAGCTGATGTAATAATGAGGCCTCAATTAATTAATCACCAACAAATTACAAAACATTGATGCGGAGGTTATGCTCAACCAAATGTGCAAGAGTCCAAGAGCAGTTAATAAAGATTTAAGTAATTTTATTAATTTAGTGCGAGTTTATTAATCAATTAGCTTTATTTATTTCATACTAATTTAATTCATGAGTATATAAAATATGAAATACTATCGATAATTCCACTGGAACAAGAAGTACCTTGTTTTTACTAGGAGAACCCAAGATAATTTAATATACAGTATACAAACTATATACCTTTTTTTATGCTATCATTATACCTGAGATAACAGCCATAAATATGATAATTTATAAGCAACTAAAACTTTTAAATTTCAAGATTGTAATTCATTCAGAATTATTATCATTCGAGATTATAATTATTCAGGATTATAAACTTTGGAATTATGCTCTTTTAGGATTATGATCTTTTGGGATTATAATCTTTTGGGATTGTGATCTTTTAGGATTATGATCGTTTGGGATTTTATTTTCAGGATTATGAATTTTCAGGATTTTTTTTTTTCAGGTTTTAGGTTTCGGGATATTATTTTTTCAGAATTTTATTCTTTCAGGATTTAGTACATCAGAATTTAGTACCATCGAGATTTCGATCTTCAGGATACTGACCCAAAATCTTTTTTTGTAAGTTTTACAGTTGTATAGTCTAGCTTTTCCATTTCTACCAACTTAGAAGTGCATGTTGGCTACTTCTACAGACTTGTTTTCAGAATAACCCTTTTGCTTTGAATGTCAAATACCTTGAGGAGTCTGTCAAAGAAAAAAAACTTAATCCTAAAGAAAACTATCTGTTCTTTTGATGTCCGCTCCTTGGTGTATTATGCCTAGACACTTAGACTTTGTTGACAACAAGCTGCTTCTACTTATAGGACCAAGTTTAGTATTTACTTTGTTGCTTTTCTATACATTTTGCTATAGTTCAG